TATTATGGGACTTTGACATCTTATTTTGTTCAGCAAAATATCAGCAGATTAACCACCAAATCTAGAACCTTCTGAATACCAGGCACTTAAATGGGAACAACAGTCTGTGGTTAGGAGATCTACATTTCTGGTGCCACATTCCTGAGTTTTATAACTATTATGGATTCATAAGAACCATTTAAAAATGTTCCCCAAACTGTGTGATGTACTTTCTGCCTATGTTTCAAGATGAGGAAAACTGCTGGGCGGTGGTGCCACATGCCTTTAATCCCAGCACTCAGGAGGCAGAGGCAGGTGGATCTCTGAGTTCGAGGCCAGGCTGGACTGAAAACCAGCAAAACAGTACAAACCAAAAAAAAAAAACGAGGAAAACTTGGATTGATTGGCGTATAACTATGCAACTCACACTCTGAAACTAGCATGATCCCTTATGTTCCCACATATTCTGGATTTGATATATCACTTACATGTATGCCAGTCATCTGTAAGGGGCCATTAGGATAAGAATGTAAGTGTGAAATTCATTTTATATCCATTTCTTGTCATCATGTACATTATTTGTCTTTTAATTTGCTTTACTATAGCTGAATAATTTAAACCTCTAACTCTTGCTTGCATTAATGATATGAATGTTTTCAGATTTGGTGGTGAAAATGTTGTTGGAAGTGGAACATTTTTTCAGTAAGTTTCTTCCATGTGGGTAGAATATCCTTATTGTTAAAACTTACGCAGTCTTTCGTGAGACTGTGATGATCTCCAGACAGACAACACATAGGAAGACGCCATTGAATTTGATCTCTGGACTTCTAAGAGCATGCAACCTGGGAATACTTGGTGTCCTCCAAAGATCAGGACAAACTGACACTCATGTTATTCCTGCTATTCTTGTCTTATAAGCCCTAGATTCCCAGAAGTAGCACATTTTAGATAGTGGAAACACTTATCCCTCCCTCTTTTATTTTAAATTACTAGTAGAGGGTATATAGTAAGGAATGGACGGCTGTCCATTTCACATTGGTAATTCACAGTACAGCAGGAGCTCCCACACTGCATTGTGAGCTTCAAGCGAACATAAAATGGCCAAGATCACAAAGTGTCTCAGGCTGGAGACAGGAAACAGTGAACTCCAAGGCTGGCTCTTCCGAGGAGCTGCACTTAGTGTTCATGAAATGAAGTCAAGCAGCTGACGTGTGGTTCCTTGCAGGAGTTTCAGTGCAGGGGACGGAGTCAGATGGGGATATTCTAGAGTCATAAAGTAAATTTTAGAAGAGAAACTTTCATCTTTTTTGATTACATGTTCACAAGGGTTAAAATTCTCCATGTAGATCGCTGAAGTTTTATTGTATAAAATGACCTTAGGAACTGTCATCTTCTTTGAATTTATACAAAGAATTCAAAGCAAAGGTTTTCTAGGTTACACTTCCTTTTTCAACCCTTTGTCCTGTCAGCTCAGTCCTTGATATCTTCATCTGCCGACATGCCCAGATGTGCAGTGAATGTTGATTTGAGCTGGCCCCTCCACCCCTCCCTGCTGGTGTCATTAAAACTAGGGAGGCAGCGGCTCCCCTGGCATCTTTGGCACGGCTTGGCTTTACACTGCGGACTAAATTATTGATGAAGAGCACTTCTGTCGCAGTGTGTTTTACCTACCTTTAAACGAAACAGTGCGGATTGAGCTGTCACTGCCGTCTCACTCCCTGCAACTTCTACATGACATTTATGATGCGGTTCAGGTTGCACCGAAGCAATTAATTTCCAGTGGAGTCTGCACTCAGAATGAAGATCCCTGACAATTACCGAGGGCTGGCTTCTCAATGAGCACACGCCACACTCATCAATACAGTACACAAAAGGAAAGCATCCAAATGTGTATAAAGCAGTCTCTGTAATCTTGTGATCCTTTCCTTCTCTTCAGATTGAGTTCTGGATTCCAACACTAGGTGTTTGCATTGTCTGTTTTCTGAAAAAAGTGGACCTAGCTTCTTAGCATACAGTTTACAGATGCCAGACAAAATTTAATAAAATTTTATTGGCCATAAGATATATTTAGCCTAGCTGAAATTTTTGGGTTGTTTTTTGCCAGAAAAAGCCATTGATATTTGCAGGTGTTTTTAAATAAATGATTCTTTATCTCTGGTTTTTTAAATTTCATTTAATACATGAAATAATAGCATATGTATGCATTTTTGTCTATATATATGCAATGCATGTTTGGGCATGTGTACTCCCGTGCATATTTTTCAAAGGATACAATAAACATTTTCAAATGTATAAAATGTAATCTTTGACCAAATTTATAAAATTTATTCCTATTGATTTAAAAATCTTTAATCTCATAAATTTTGTAGGTTGAAGATTAGCTTTACTGTATTATGGCTTAAATTACGTGTAGTTCAGTGTTTTTAATTTCTTTTGAAGGCATCAATATGAAATGTTCTCATAAGTAAATAACTCTCTGGTCTCCTACTTTTGATACTAATTTTATAGTAGCTTTTCCTTTAATGGATTGACTTTGCTTATGCTAAAATACTTCATACTCAGCAAGAGTGTATTCTAAATTGATGAGTTTTTAATTTTTATTTTAATATTGCTTACATACCATGGCTTCAAACCTGGAGGCTGAAACATATTGTGCAAGTTTTCTTTATTGGAAAGACCCCGTGTCTTGGAAACTTCTCGTGGTAAACTTTGCATAGGAGGTAGGAATAATGTAAGAAGTAATTTTATTTGAACAGGGTCAAGTAACAGAGGCACCTGAACAACCCAACTAACATGTCCACACTCTTACTAAAATCCAACATTACAATATAAAGCACTTTATATGCCAACGTGTACTCTTTAGTAACTGTTATCCTTAGTGCATATGTATTGCCAGAAGCTGGTGACCAATGATGGGCAAATACTTGCTGTATTTGTTTTTTCTAAACCTGGAATTTTCCAACCCTTTAAAGGCAATTTAGAAAGAAGATGGAATCTCTCTCTTTAGTTTTCAGATCTGTTTCTGTTTTGTGACTAAGGACATTTATTTATGAAATATCTGTATCTCAAGAGATGTTGTTTTTATGCGACAGATTCAGGAAAGAAACTTCATCTACTGGACTTGTTCTTGTCTCACAGAATACATAATTTAAAGAGTAATGAATTTAGTATATTTTTATACCATCAGATGTTCCAATGAAAAGAATCTTCTCCTTTCTCACATATTCTCCAAAATAAAAATAAATCCCATTGATTTTGATGAAAATCTTTACAGCATACTTGGGCACCTACTTGTAGCCAGCTATAGTCAGACAAATTGATTATATTTTTCTATTTGGGGATGGATGTCTTTCACTAAAACATTTAAAGAGTCATTGGAATAAACTTCAAGATAATGAGATATTATTTTGTATACAGAAATTTTGTATTCTAACTATTTTGTATGCAGAAAATGATCATGGTTATTTGCTGATCTCTTACACCACGTGCCTTGGTTTCCTTGACTACTGAGAATGAGCCTTTTTATACCCTCCTTTATTCGAATTTTGACAGGTGAGAACAGTAAACATCAGTAATTCGTGACTGCTTGGCCAAGGGTTACTTGGTGGTAGGGGTAAGAGTCAATCCTTGCATCTAATCTAAATCTTACTAGTTCAGTATATTAGAACCTTTTGTTTCTTTTAGGATTCAGTGAAGCACCTGTTATTACTAGTGTTCAAAACTCTTCATTTTGTTTTGGATTTATTAATTCTTAAGGCAATGTACAAAGTATTCTATTAATTTGTAAAAATGGTGATTTTTCTTATGTAAGAAAAAATTTCCATGAAAGTTCACTCTCTTGTTATATATTTGTGTTTGTAGTTTGAGCCCAGGACAAACTCCTTGTTATTCTTTTATACAACACATCATGGAGTTTATTTGTGATATATAAATGAACAGATTAAAACAAGAACAATTGACTCATGTAAAACTTAACAGTTCACACTTGAAATGGTATAGCTTACTTATGTGAAGAAATCAATTATAAAATATTGTAAGTTACCTTAAGTCTTTCCTGTGTCCCTCTCATTTAATAATTCCTTCCACCCATGTGGGTATGTCCTCAGCTTCTTTAAGTCAGAAATGAATTTGACAAAGACTCAGGAAAACATGTTCACATTGCTTTGTTTCTTACTTTATTATGACTATGGGCTTATGAAAGAATTATTTTCTTCTAGGATTGAAGTTGTTAATAGAATTAATAAATACATGCTATTTCTTGCAGTTTTGAAACCTATAAATAGAATGGAAACTGGGATTTCAAAGTTGAGGAGAGATATCAGATTGCCAAAGAATAAATTGTATCTTAAGATTCTGAGTAATTCTAGATTCTTCTAGCACTCAAAGAGGCTTATTACTGTTAGTAAATTTACCTGAAGTAAGATTTCCTAAAGTGTCATCACATAAATCCAGGTGTGCTGTATTAGTGTGAAAGCTAAAGTAGCTTTCATTAATGAAGTAAGAGGGAAATGGGATTGACATGTACAACAAGCTTGTTTCTAATTTAAATAAAAAGGAAATATATAAAGGGAATATTGCCTGCTAACCTAAAAAAGAAATAATTATTCTTAAAGGAGTTAAAGAGAGAGGAAATAATATCATTCTGTTTTTTTATGATTGATTTGTACTTTTTTTTGGTTTTTTTAAGACAGAGTTTCTCTGTATTGTTTTGGAGGCTGTCCTGGAACTCGCTCTCTAGACCAGGCTGGCCTCGAACTCACAGAGATCCACCTGCCTCGGCCTCCCGAGTACTGGGATTAAAGGCGTGTGCCACCAACGCCCGGCGATTTGTACATCTTTTAATGGTGAGAAAATGTGTATATTTAGAAATTGCCAGTTGGACTCAGTGTAGGTGATCCTGATTTTGTTGGTAACATCATACTCAGAAGCCAGAAGAACATAGACCTTCTTCTCTCCATCAGGCCTTACTTTATCAGGATGTTGACTTTGGCCACATCAATGTCACAAAGTTTCTTCATAGCCTATTTGATGTGGTGTTTGTTGGCCTCGGCATCCACAGGGAGCTCTCGTGTGTTGTCCTCTGTCTTCTTCATGGCTAACTCAGCGGTCAGCGGAACTTGATGCATAGTGGTCAAGCTTGTTTCTCCTGGGTGTGTGCTCTTTGGAAGTGCTTTCTCTGGAGCTGCAGGGTCTTGGACCCTGTGCAGGTGGGTGATGGGCAGGTCTTCTTTGTGTGGGTGTTTTAGCTTTAGCACTGCCTTCTTGGCTTTCAAAGCCTTTGCTTTGACTTCGGCTTTGGTGGGGGAGAGGGGCTCTTGTCTTTGCTTTCTTGGTGCCATCTTGACAAAAAGGATTTAAATACCTTTTGATAAATGAATCTTCAAAATAAACAATGTTTAGTACATTGTTCCCTATCTCACTTGCTCAATTTCAAAATTAAATATATTAACAGATAAAATTAAATATGCTAGAAGCATACAAATGTGAAGTATTGGTCTCTATCTAAAAAATAATAGATATTCACCACCCTCCTTCTGATATTTGAAGCTTACTTGGGGTGAATGCCTTTTTGAAGTCTTGACTGGTTAATAACCTTTCTCACTAAACATGTGCTAAGGCCCAGGTAGTAAGCACAGGCATATGTATGAAGTTCTATCATTGATATTCCCTTTTGAGCTTTTGAATCTGAGAAAAGATGCAAAGATGCTGAGCCCACCAAGAAGATGACCAGGGAGTTGGAGGGAAGGTTTGACTACCTCCATGGTGTAATTCGGTTGTAGCCTATGCTACTGATTTGCCCTGTGACTCCTATTTATATATCTAGCAGCCTTCCCACTTGTGCTGTCAACGCCTCTAGGTAGCATCCCAAAAAACTTACTTTTTATTCTCAGTTAGCTAAAGCTGGTTCCTGGCACTGACAACCAAGGGCTTTACTCAGCTCAAGGCACACCAAACAATCAATACAAATACTGTTAGAAATATAGGAAACCTGAGAATTGACAGTCACCTTTTGTTTAGAAGGTGGCTGTAAGTGAGATTATTTAGTGAAATTAAATGTATTTCATTATAATTTGCAGATACAATAGAAGTGATGCTACATTACTTTTGCATTTTTCTGATTATAATTTTAGCAAATATACATGGACTCTATAACTGAAATTCACATTTTACTGAATCATTTGGCATATCAAATGTGTTGATTTATCTTTGTATAAAGATATACACTCATTTAGTATTTGGGGAGAAAGGATCAAGCAACCACTCCTCTTGGTTCTATTGGCAGCATGGTTAAAATGAGTAGTGTCTGTTTCCCCATGAGAAAAAAGATACATTTTGCATGCTAATTTTCAGATTTCTCTTAATAATACATTTTTCTAATTATAATAGAGACAAATATTTCCTTTATCATTTGGCTGTTTTTCACTTTTGCTAGCTTTCAATATGATGGGGGTTGGGAGGAGAAAAACAGAGACAGAGAAAGAAATAATTTCACATCAATAAAAATCAGAGAGACAAGACATTATGTATACATTTGGGGTGTGTTCTCTGAATTTACAAAAGTCATGACTGCTCTTGGGAGAGTGAGGTGGGAATTTCTGTTTTAGTTTTGAAGCATTTCAAGGCCATTTATTGCCATAACTCACATCCCATTGGATTGAAGTGAATGGCTAACATCAGTAAGTGCTTCTATAGTAGATTTGCTAATTCAATGGAAAGAAGAAAATAGTAAAAAAAAAAAAAAGGAAGAATGCATGGCTTCATTTGAAATTATTTTTCATCCTTCAAAGAACAAAAATGATAGAAGAGAGTGTGTATTTCATTTTTCCTTTACCAGGGTGATGTGATATATATATGTATATATAATCACTGATCTTATGTTTTTCTTCTCATTATTAAGTTTCTTTATGATGTTCTGGTGTCTTCCCTAATGAGAAATAAGCTAGAAATGTTTTGGCATATCTTGGGAAGGTAACTAATACTGAACCATTAACAGCTGGAAGCCTGTGGAATACTTCATTGCAGAACGAATGTTGCAAAAATTTCCCTTCATCCACATCTTCATGTATGTTAAGTGTACCTAGTCACTGGTGTCAACAATTTTGTTCTTAGTCCCAGCATCCCAGTGGTTACCATGCCTCTAGTGTATATTGGAGTTCAAAGCTTCCTTCCTCTTTTTATGATCTTTTTATAGAAATCACTTTCCAATTATTACTGTATATTTTATCATTTGGAAAATTAAAAATTTGTAACTCATGGTGTCTCCTCGACAGGCCCGTTATATATTCCCATTGTATTCAAAGTGGGTATTTTAGCAAGTAAGCACTAATTTTCCAAAACACACCACACTGGTATCATAGTGCTGCTCCTGAAAACTTTTCAGCCTCCAAGCTTTAAGAATTCTTAGTGGGATAGAGAAATCTTCAAAATGTTTAGAGTGATTTCTGGCTTTTCCTTCCCATCCTCAGATCCTCCAGCACCTCACAGATCTCTGGGCTACATTGCATTTGAACCATGTGCCAATTTAATTTCTCAGGACTTTCCTTCAGTGCTGTAAGAGGCTCCTAACCCACCTCTGCATATCTTATTTGCTGAACCCAAAGCTTACTTCTGTCCAGTTGAACTTCATGAAGCATAATGGGAAAGTACCAACTCATTCCCTTCCACTCCTCCATTCATACCTCTACTCTCCAGCTCCATTGGGCAGTTTGGATTTCTCTGACATGTCTCATAATCTCTCAATTCCATGGCTTCCCATGATGTCTTTCTCTTTGCTCCTCTGGTATTGACAAGTCTTGTGTAATTGTGAGCTTCCTGGTTAGGATTTCCTGATATCCACACCACGGTCACTTCTACCTCCTTCCTGTGTCCCCAGCGATTCTTTAGCATATGTTCTGTGACCGTTTCTCTTAGAGAAGTGGAGGAGTACTTGCTCTCCTTTCTTTATCTTAAGTTCCTCTGGCCGAGAATTCACTGTTCTCGTCTTTTTTTTCCGTCAGATTTTAGAACTTGATACATTCCCTACTTTGGGGGTTCAGATAGCTATTACGGGATAACCTGTTTTAAACAGAAATCTCATGTTGAGCCTGGTAGCACAGACCTGTAGTCCCAAGTATGTGGGATTAATTTAAACCCTGCTGACACCACAGAGCAAGTTCAAGGTTTGCCTGGGAAATTTAGTGAGATCCTGTGGTCAGAATTTTTTAGAAGTTGGAAAAGGGATGAAGGATGTAGCTCAGGAGTAGCCTGCTTTCCTAGCATCGTGGGTGCTTTGATCCCAGCACCACAAACAACCAGATCCTGGTGTCCGGTCCCACCTATTTTATTCTATTATAAGCACACCAATTTTAACACTAGTTACTTCTTTTTTATTATTACATCATTAACTTGCATCAATTGTATAAATCATGCATTCTCTGTGTTATATCTATATATGCATACTTTGTGTATTGTTTATGTGCCCATCTATTCTCCCTTATACCCCTCTTTCATCTTCCCCCTCCAGCAACCTTCCAGTTTCTTCAAACCCCCTCCTAATTCCTTTTCCCAGTTACCATTGTCCTTTGTTTCTAATGACACTTTTTTCTACTCACACAAGGTTTCCTTAAATGAGTGAAAACACATGGTGTTTGTTTTACTTATCCGAAGGTCTTTAGTCACCCCGGAAGTGTTACAAATGGCAGAAGTTCTTTCATTTTGATGCACAAATATAGCATATTTTCTTTATTCACTGTCTGCTGAGGAGCACCCTGTTTGGTTCCACAGTTTGTGAAGGGTGGTGCTGTGAAACACGGCAGCAGAAGCAGCTGTGTGTCCAGCTGTTCAAGAGAGCAATTTTACCCACTTTGTGTCAATGTCAGGCAGTGGAGTTGCTGGTCGTATGGTGGTTCCGGTTTTGCTTTTTTAGAATCAGCATAGTATTTTCTCTAATGCTATACTAATTTACACTCTCACAAAGCTAATTCCTTGTTATCTTTTTCCTAGCTATGGAAATGTTTCCTTCTTCATCTCTCCTTCTATGATAAGTAGTTGATGACTCATGTTGTGTGTTCCTTTCTTCCTTATTAATTTTCTCAGGAAGGAAAGACCTTTAACGGTAACAAGTGTTCCATACCTTTTCACAGTTCTTATAAAACTGAGAACTTAAGCATCGTTAAAGATTAATTCTGGATTGCTGAGTGAATAAGACACAGCTGTGTCTGATTAAACTTTAAGGGAACACAGAGTAACAGGGACCTTTTAGATTTACACAGAAATTGGAATACCCAAGGAAGTCGTGGGACCAATTAACAACTGGAAGATAGAAAAGACTTTATGTGGATGTACAGGTGAACTGTGGGATCAGACCAAGTTCCTTGGGTCTCAGTTTGGGCTATGTGGGCTGCTCTATCTATCGGATCCAGGAAATAGATACAAAAAGGGAAAATGTAGCCAAGCTTTATTTAATAGAGCAACAACCTTCTTGGCTGAATGTTTGATTGACCCTGGAAAGCAAAGTCAAGGGAATCACTTTCAGGGTCTTACCTGTAATTTTGAACTTTATAAGAAACTGGAAGTTCTAATGGATTTGAGCGAGAATATAGCAGCACTCTTAGAATGTTCAAGGAGGCTACGTACATAACTAGGTGCAGGAACTCTGATAAGAAAAGAGAACTAAGAGGCAAATAGCCGAGTCAAGAAGTTGTGAGTTGAATAGTTCCTCATATTTAAAATTACTATGAGGAATTTTAAAACCTATTTAAAAATACTCTATTAAATAATAGATGCTCCTGAAACATGTCATTAAAGTAATAACTTTACATTGTGGAATTCTTATGACAATGAATATCACTGTAGTGTTTTAATGCTAGTACTTTTATTGTTTTAAATATTATTCATTATTTGTGTGTGTGTGTGTGTGTGTGTGTGAGAGAGAGAGAGAGAGAGAGAGCACCGTGGCACGTATATATATATATATATATATATATATATATATATAGAGAGAGAGAGAGAGAGAGAGAGAGGTAGAGTGCAACCCAGAAGAGTCAGTTCTGTATCCACCATGTGTCCCACAGGGATCTGAAATCAGGGCATTAGAGTTGTGGAGCAACCACACTTACCCACTGAGCCATTGCCCAGATCCTATACCTGTACTTTCAGAAAGGAGATAAGTTGCTAGGTTACCATTTTAATGCTGCCTAATGGGACTTAGGATGTCAGATACACATGAAATGATTGTGTGTATGTGGGAACAGTTAACACACGACACAATAATTATATGTAACGATAAGCTTTTTGAAAATTTGCAATCTCATCAGGACCCTTTGAAAGCTCCTCGGTCATCAGGATTCTCTCTAACTCA